AGCCTGGGGCCTTTATCTCAGAAGAAGAGCTGAAGATTCGGAGTGAGGTCGAGATGGATATAGAGAGAGACTTAGAGGAAGAAATCAAAGATGGAATCTGCCATCTTGCTCTGAGATTGCACAGGCTTTATCAACACCAAAAGGAAAGAAGATCAACTTCTGCTGCTGGAGATGAAAGAAAGATGAAGAAAGCATTTTGTGAGGTGAATATAAACATAAAAATGGAAGGGGGAACCAGGATTGAAATAAAAGAGACCAAGAAACCAGCACCTCCTGATCAAAAGGGTAGTGGTCCTAATTGGTCTGGTTCAAGATCAGAAAATTATATGCAACCATTTGTGAAGATGCCTAGAAATTCCAAGAAGTTTGATTGGGCCAAAACACTGAGGTCAAATGTTGGCCCTGTAGCCTTCACAAAGAAACAATGGCAGCCCACATGAACTTGTTAAGGGGTTTGACAAAGCAAGCATACACATAGGGTACTGATAACGGCTTCTCTCAACTGGGATGGAAAGTTAGAGATTGTTTTGGTTTGTTAAGGGTCTGGACTTGAGGTCTCTTTGACATGACAATAATATCAGTGCTGTTGGGAAGTGCTGATGAGACCTGTGATTTTTTTATAAGACATATAAATAAGTTGTGGAATGCTATGTAAACTCAATTTCCAAAAAAGAAGAGTTAAAATAAAATTTGCAATGTAAACTACTTTGTTTTTGTTTTTAATTGAAGATCAAGAAGCAACCAGAGAAGAGTAAATGGATATTCGTAATTCTAGTGGTCAAGAGTTTTTATTCGTAGATTCATTGTATGCAGAATATAGTCGTGGACTAGTCAGGTTTTAGCCGACTTAATATTTTTCCTCCCCACTAAATATTAGCCCATATCTTCATATCCCAACCCATAATTTTTTAATATTTTGAAATACATTTTTGTTTTATAAATGGGGACAAAGATATCTTCCAATATTTACTGATCATCATACCAACCTATAGTTGATATTATTTGACCTACTTACTTTCACACCAAGAAGGGGAAACAAGGCATCAATTCGTGAAGGTTTTATGCCTGTGGCCCAGCAATATTTTGTGTGCATGAGTGAGTAGTGGCCCTAGTGGGTTGTCTCACATTCTCATAAATACATGAGCTCCATAATTTTGTGTTGAGTTGAGTGAATTTGAATTTATTAAAGGATCTGTCATTAAAATGGTCCACAAAGACAGGCACTATTAATCAGAGTCATTCTATAGTATGAAGAACTATCTTTTGATCGTCGGATCAAACTAATTAATTTAATTTAATGATTAATTAATTTGATTCAACAGTTAAAAGATAAGGTTTCATATAAGGATCTCGCAATAGAATTCTACCTATTAATCAACCAAGTCAAAACAATAAATGAATTATTAATTCCTTTTTTATAAATTAAAGGCCCCTTTGCTAACTATTACAATTTTTATTTTATTTTTTATTTTTTGTGTTAGAGTACAGAGGAAAATGAGATTGAGAATGGGAATAAGGATGAGATTGAAATTGTTTTCCCTTTCAAGTTTTTGTTTGTACTTTTGTAACTCTTCCCTCCTTCTCAGCGTCCCCTCTCAATCTCATATCCACTCTCATTCTTACTTCCATTCTTTCTCTTTTTCCTCTATACTCTAGCAAAAAAAATGAAAATGAAAATGAAAATGAAAATTGAAATGGTTATCAAACGGGCCCTAAGTAAATGTCATATTATTCGAAAACATTATATATTGTTAAACACACACACAAACAAGGGTGCAATGAAGATTCGAATATGAGATCACCGGTCTACAATTCAATGTCATTTTTCACTGAATTAGACCTCGTCGGCGTCAAACTATTAAATTAAATTATTAATTATGTGTATTTTTTATTTTCTTGATATGAAATATTGAGGTTCGAACTTAAAATGTAATTCAACTCACCCAACTAAACCAATTATTAGTTTGTATATTAATTAAAAAGAACATTTCCTGCAAAATACTAGTTGGTGTCTTATTAATTGTGTAGGTAGACATGATATTAAATATGTTTTCAAAGACAATGAGGGTGTGGGCCTGGCATCTCCCCAAGACATTAGTAGTAGAATCACACCAAAAGTTGAAAACATCAAAACTCTTTGGAGGTTGGATTGAGTAGGGACAACAAATTTAATTGGTCAGGCAGACCAGAGGCCCCCAGATTTAGAATTGGTGTGTACCATTGAATGGTCTTAATCGTTTGACTGTCAAAAAGGTATCATCAAATCTAAAGTATATATCAGGTGCCAATGCCAAACCCAACTTCCTTTCAAACTTTTAAATCTTACAATCCTCTTCAAGGTTTTGCTTTCCAAAGTTGGATCATCCAAAAAAATTTTATCAGGCCCCCTCCCTCCTCTTCACCTTCTCCTACAATGTCTTATCTCTGCTCCTTGACTCATCTATGACTCTATGCACGTATAGTTGTTAGGTTCACCGACTGAACTTCTTGGTAAGTTTATTCCCATGTCTAATCGCACAAGATGGCACGTACGCTTTGAAACATGTAATATGCCAGCCAGGTGTCGCAATGTATGTTCAAAGTGCCAAGAGTGATCAATTCAGTCAACAAAAACTAATCCAACCATTATTGGCAAGTCAGTTATCAGCTTTACTAATTTTGACCATGAACCAGAATTGATATGATGATGACCACCAAGTTCTAGGGTTTAGGCATAAAGCTAGCTAGAATTTCATTGAAGTGCCTAAAGCAGCAGCTAATTCCTTGTATAAGACAACAAGTTTCCTTCAAGGTTGCGAATATTGCTTGATCATTTCTAATCTAATCACACTCTTGTCTGTCTGCATGAATGTCAGATCAGGAAAATCGATATGCTTAGCCGAAAGTGCAACCCATTCCCCCATGCTTATGAATTGATGCTTGTTAAATCATCTATCTATCTTACAAACAAACTGCTCATAGCAGCAAAGTTTTTTTTTTTTTTTTTTTTGTCCTTTTCTTCTTAATGCCAAAAAGAAAGAAAATTATGAAGAGAAACCCGAGAAACTCCTCATTGATATAGCCACATGAAAGCCTACTAAAATTGTAGGCAGATGTAAAATTCCAGCACAAAATGTTCAAAGATTTAGAATTAAGTCACCCTTTTGTTTTTGTGTTTGGGAAAGAAAAGGGTTTGATGAGCGCACCGGCCCTTTTTCGAGGTAGCAGAAATGACAACATGGGAATCAGAAAGCAGGCTAGGATTCTCAAATTCTAATATAGTTGCTCAAAGTACAATAAATACATGGAAATTCTTATCCAATTTGCAGGAATTCAATTCTATCTCTGCAAGCCCTTGCATCTTTTGATGAGTCTATTTAACTTAGGGATTTTAACCGCAATCGTCCTGAACTTATTTCCGAATTTTATTTTAATCATTCAACTCGTTTTTAAGTCATTTTAGTCCTCCAACTCTCACGCATATTCTAATTTAGTCATTCCATAACATTTTCTTTTCGGTTTTTAGATATCTAAAATAACGGTTTTAAGCTTCAAATAGTCGGAAAAATTCACAAAATTTGAAGGAATGACTAAATTGGAACACGCGGGAGAGTTGGAGACTAACTCAAAATGAGTTGGAGAACCAAAATGAATCTCGGATATAAGTTCATGGATCATTAAGATTAAAACCCTAAAAATTAGTAGACCATTGCAACAACTTAATGCATTGAAGACATATTACAACTCTAGATCTTTAATTAATTGCAAAGTTAACCACATTAGTTTCACAGCAGATTTCCAGTTAATATGTGATGACTTTTGGACCAAAAGTTCCCTACTTGGCTGAACTTTGAATGCGCATAGGAGGAAGAAAAGACAGTCCATGAAAAATGAAGCATATTGACAAGGGGATGGATTATGTGGGATGATTTACAACCGTCTGAATCTGCTAATTTGAACTTTGACCAGATTTCCCAATAAGTCCATGGACCACAATGCAGCTTTAACTGATGTTGGGGTTCCACCAAAACAAGTAAAGCATCTTCAAGGATCTCATCTAGGTAAGCTTGGACTCTCACAAGAAGAAAACCTCCAACAAAAGTTTTATATATATATATATATATGTATATATTTATATCTTTCTTGCTAGTAAACTTGAGACATCAAATGCTAGAAGTAGAACAAGTAAAAGGACCCAAGAACAAGCACACCTCACAATTTCAAACCCTGAAAATGGAATTTGGTCCTCCTGAAAAATTAAGCTGAACCATGACTATACTTTACAGGCTGAGCCAGTCAGATTTGTTAATTAATTACCACAGTTAAACACTAATTAAAGAAATAATTAAACTTCAATAATCTTAGATGGGTGTGTGTGTTTATAGTAGAGAATTAGAGGAAGATTTAGAAAGATTCTTGGAAAGAATGCTATCAACCAACCCTAAAAGATCTGCAGTTGAGGGAGCTGCAGACAAAAGCTCTGTGTCCCCCTCCCTCTTGTGTACATTTATTAAGAGTTTTTTTTGCTGCTGGGAGTGCGCCCACATGTTCCCTTTGAAGCAGATCGTCGAAATTTGGAAAAAGATAGAGAAATTAATAAAAAGAAATATATATATATATATATATAATATTTATATATGTATATAGATAGAGACCAAGCTTTGGATCTATCGACTTTCTCTCCAACATGGACTGAACCCACATTTTGGACTTGAGTTTCCATGAAAACAAAAACTACTGTTTCTCTAGCTGCTATATCTTCTTTCCCAAGAGAAAACAAAACAGTAGAAAAATGAATAGTATAATAATAATAATAATAATAATAATTGAATGACTTTGAGCTCTTTCTTTTCCTTCCCAAGGTGACCCCATCAGATCAGGGATATCAAACATCTGGGTTCTACCCTCTACACCAGACAAGCTCCATCATATGATTACATGGATCAAAGAAACCAACCTCATAAAATACTCTAAATTTTTCAAAAAGAAAGAAATTCATGGATATCAATAAATATTATATATATATATATATATATATATATTCTGCACTCATTACTGCAAAAGTAAAAGCAGTGTTTGCAATGCAAGAAAGAGCAAAGACAAAAACTTGGTAGCAGAAAGAAACAGACCAGAGAATATGAAAGCTAGGTCCCAAAGATCATCATCCCTTTTCAACTCGGGTTGGGTTCATCATTTGAAGGCCCTTCAGAAGAGCATAAGATCCAGACAAAGAGAAAAGAGAAAAAATTAAATTAAGCAGTGAAAAAAGGAAAGAGAAAAAGTACTGATCATTGAACTATAGCATCTCATACAATTAATGCTTCTCAACATAAAATCCAGAGAGTCTGAGATTCGTGGACGAAAACAAAAAGGCATGGGATTGAAGGGAAGAGAAGTAAATGAATGACACAGAAACGTACAAACAAACACATGTAAAAAAAATATAAATAAAAGAGATGGTATATATAGAAAACGGAAAATGCAGCATGGATCGCACAAGTCTTATTATTAAGACCACACAAAGCCTACGAACAGATGGTCCTCCCTCTATACTCTATGATGATCATAACCAACAGCTAAACACTGCAAACTCATCAACATTGATCAACCCATTTAATTAAATTAGTAGGATGATTAAGCAAAGATATATGATTAATATATTTTACATGCACTAGTTAATGAAATGATCAAATGGGGCACATTCACAACAATGAGAGAGATTTCACACTCATCTAAATCAAGTGTTCAAATAACACGGATGATCATCACTACACTAGTCAATAAATTTAAGAAAAAAAGATTAAAAATAAAAAGAAACCCTAATTAAAACACTAATTAAAATCCCGGAAAAGCAGTAGAATTTCTCAACAAAGTCGGCTGCAGGCACATGATGATGATTTTTGTTCCTGATCAGTTTCGCCACCTTGACCAGAAGAAAATTACCTCTAGCTGATAAATCCTACTACAACTGCTAGAGCTAGCCAAGTGTTGTCCTAATTAAACTAATAAGTACAAAAGATCCAGAAGATCGGTCGACTGACAGAGAAAGAGAGAAATGATGAGATGAACATGAACAAGAATGATGATATACTTGTGGGTTTTGGGTTGTTTTTCATGTTCATTGTCTTCCTTGTTCTGGGTTTGTTTGGTTTCTAGCTTAACAAGCATGATCAGCTAGCTAGGGTTTCTTACCCAGAGTGTGCTTGTTGTTATGCATCCAAACCTTGAGGACGTGACGCTTCACTCCAGTCTCGTTGCAGAACTGCTGAATCGCCGGCTCGTCCTGCTTCTGAATCCTCCACCCCAGCGTCTCCGCCAAAGTCAACATCCTCTCCTTCTGCTCGGCCGTAAACTTCGTCCTGAACCTCTTCTTCCCGGAAGACGCCGTTCCATGTAAACCCCCTCCCATTCCCAAATCCCCTCCACCGCCGCCGCCTCCGCTAGGATTCGACATGTCGTCCTCCTGCTCCTCCCCCCTGCTATGGGTCCCGCCCCCTCCCGACGTCGAAGGCAGCGCCAGCGGCCTGTGGTGCGGTGCCACGTGGAGGTACCCTGCTGGCGTACGGTAGTACGGCGAGAACTGCGGGTGGTTGTGCTGCCCGTGGAGCGGCACCAGCTGCCCGTACGGGTCTGCGGTCATGAGCGCGAGCCCGCCCGGGTCGCC